CTCTTCACTTGTGGTTTTTTTGCCGGTGAATGCAGCTGAATAATAACAATGCAGATGAATTGGTGTGTGGGCGAGCGGACTGGGAACGCTGCTGCATCTGTGAGCAGGTCAGAGTTCGACTCCAGATCTGTGTATTAATAATGCAGCAGCGCCTCCAGGGCTCCACCTGTCTGCAGAGACCTGCGTTCACATGTAGCCTCACACACACACACACACACACACACACACACACACTGTTTCAACACTGTTAAAGGTCAAACACTGTCAGTTCTCGTTAGTTTCTTTAATTAACATTTACAGATTTGATTTAATTTTACATAAATTAAACACAGACTTTTTTTCTTTACTGTTTTTAAACAGTTGAACTGCTTTACACAGCACAGCGCCAACTACAGTAGAGATGGTGACGGTTCTGTTCATTGTTCATGTTCTGCTCATGTTTCTGAGAAACTGAGAAAGTCATTGTTGCCACCTACTGGGCTGGAGTGTTTACTACAGTCTCATTAGTTTTACATTGACAAGAATGTGATCAAACCCAACATTGTTTAAAGTATAACTAACTAACTAACTAACTAACTAACTAACTAACTAATTCATCCTAGTCAGTCACTGACAGTTTTCTCAACAACTAGACTTCATAAGAGATATATTTTATAAATAATGTTTAGCCTTTATTTTATTTCAGGGAATTGTTGGCCTTAATCTCAGCCTGTTTTTGTCTCCACTGATGGAAGCTTCACTAACACTGCTGTGGTTACTGGTTACTGGTTACTGGTTACTGGTTACTGGTTACTGGTTACTGGTTACTGGTTACTGGTTACTGGTTACTGGTTACTGGTTACTGGTTACTGGTTACTGGTTACTGGTTACTGGTTACTGGTTACTGGTTACTGGTTACTGGTTACTGGTTACTGGTTACTGGTTACTGGTTACTGGTTACTGGTTACTGGTTACTGGTTACTGGTTACTGGTTACTGGTTACTGGTTACTGGTTACTGGTTAGTGGTTAGCAGTTAGCTGAGGGATGAGAGCAGATTAGGATTAACTTTAGGAGTCTGAACAAACACTGCTGCTGCTGCTGCTGCTGCTGCTGCTGCTGCTGCTCTGAGGGTAAACTATTTTAGAAACAGCCCCCGGGGTCTTTCACGTCTTCTGGCTGAGACCTCACCTCCGTCTGCTCTGAATCAAAGGAGAAGCCAAGAAGATAAAGTGACGACACATCTGCCCCGGGGTTGTTGTTGTTGTTGTTGTTGTTGTTGTCTTCACCGTGTGCCATGATGTAGTGGAGAGTTCAGCTCACCTGTGGGTGTGTGTGTGAGTGTGGGTGTGTGTGTGTGTGAGAGAGTGTGTGTGTGTGTGTGAGGTTCGGCAGCTCCTGGCTTTGTTTTGACGTCTGATGACGTGTTGGTTTCTGAAATTGATCTCCTTGTCTGAGACGGTGAGACCTTGGAGAAATCTGTGGACCTTGGTTTCCTCTGGGCGTCAATACTGCAGTACATTTGTAGTAGTAGTAGTAGTAGTAGTAGTAGTAGTAGTAGTAGTAGTAGTAGTAGTAGTAGTAGTAGTAGTAGTAGTACTCTCTGTTTGACTCCTCCTTCATCAGAAATACTTTTATTTATCTGCCAACATTCAGTCCTTTTTAGGAGGGGCTGCATTCTTACAACGCTGGCATCCATCATCCATCCATCCATCCATCCATCCATCCATCTTCAGTTCCTGGGATTGAAACAAACAAACTGACAGACAAAAGTATTTACTCTTCATTCAACGATGTTTTTACTTTGTTTTGGACGCGTTGGCCTGTTACCAGTTGGCAGAAGTACGACTTTATACCAGTGTGTGTTTTCATTTCAGTTCTCACCACTACACATACCTTCTGTTGTGTCGGAACAAAGAGAACAAAGAGGTGTCAAAAACAAAACCAGGATCATGAGCCAATAAATAATCAGCAGTTTGTTCTGCTGTAATTCATCCTTTTCCGTGACCCCCC